AATAAACTGAGAAAAGTGAGAGAGACGTGAACATTTTTGAGATTGCATGTGAAACAAATGTGACTATAAACTGACTAATCACACCTATCAGAAACTATTTGTTAATGCTAGCAAAAGTTTTTGTACCTCTCAAATTATCACCAGTTACAATCTTCAGAATTCGATAGAAATTATATTGAGCTTCAATGTTAGAATGCTGATGATTTTCAATTGCAAGACTCCACCAGTTTTGAACATATCCATTGATTGAAGTATTGAAAATCTACACAATACCTCATATTGACTAGTAGGTACACATTAGTTTTACCATAATAAAATGTACTATTCAACTATTTAAACATATTTTTCAAATCAGCATATAACGGGTCGTCGAAGTTCATAACTCAAACCAAATAGATAATCTTCCATGAGGTCAAATATTCAACAAACATTTGGAATCCTTGATATAGGAAAATGTCGGGACATGTTCAACAGGTGGTTAACACTTGTAACATGTATTTCGTTTTCATACCAATATCTGTTAATGGCAAAAATATATCTGATTATATATAAACTTACCGATTTCAAAATTATGTACTGCAAAAAATATTCATCAGCATCTATTAAATAAACAATTCTGCCATATTGTTGGTTGCAATAAATTCAACGTATTCTTTATCACTTTTTAGATTTTTACTAATGGCATACCGCTTCTCTATAAGAATCACAGAATATACAAAATATGATATTAATTTGTTTAATCTAAAAGAATCGCGTCTCATTAATACAAAACAGACAAACAAAAAAACGTCAATGTAGAAAACTAATTAACTAATTACGTCATACGTCACTTGTCTAGTCCCAGCTAAGTGGGGGAATTTCATAGTGCAGTAAAATAAGTATTATCCGTAATTAAATTATAACGAGCAAGACAGTATTTCCAAAGGGATTGTACGAATTTAATAAATTATAATCAAATCCAAGCTAATAATCAAAATTTCTGTGTTCTGTACCGCGGTTATAATATGATTTAAGATGACACACGGGTTGATGACGTCAGTTACTCAAATCGGTTGAACCCGTTGGTTTTAACAGCAGTTTTGTTGCAAGTTGTTTATTTTAGAAAAGCGCGTATATAATTTCTGATTATTTTTATTGTCACTTAATAATCGGTGCTTTTTCGGCTAAAACAGTGTATGGAAAGTTTAAAAAAGAAACCTTTCATAATATTAATAATGTTTTTTTTTTTCAGAAAATAATTTTTATTTATGGAACCATGGCTTTGTAGCATTTATTGACTTAGCAGAAATAGGAAAAAGCGATGAAAAAAGATATTAACAAAACCGTATACATGTGGACATTATCCAGTGAGTTTATATAGGGCCATATTTTAATATTCTTGTGGTATATGGCTACACACAGGATACTTTTTTAAGCATAGGAACTAGATTTAAAGTGTTCCCAACAACAGTAACGAGTATAACTAATAAGGTGCTCTACTTTATGCTACAATTGAAGTCAGCCTGTATCAAGTTTCACAAAAATGAAGCTGAAGTACAAAAAAAATATCCAATACCCGGCAAAATTCTAACTTGTCACATTTCAAATAATAACCAGAAATATAAAACTACTCATGAGTTGGGTAAATACCACAATTTTGCGGTGATAACTATTACATATAACAGCTGATTCATGACGTCACGGATCTTATATAACCAAACTGAGAACCACACTGGCTTGAACGGATCGGTAAATACCAATCCAAAATGGTAAATACCATTTTCATTTGGTTATTCGCTTGAATTTGATTAATTAGTAATGATATCAAGATCTGTCAGTTTGAAAATGTTCAAAGGGAAATTGAAAAAATATCTCATGGAAAAGCGTTTAATTAATGGCCACGCTTACGCGTTTTATATAAAGGAGTCATAACGCTAACAAATAAAAGCTTTCTTTTGGATCCAGCCTTTGAGTCAAGGGGCGGAGGCGTTATGCCTCTCTTATCTTCATTTTATTATCATTATCATTGATTAATTTCACGTTGCTAATGAATTTGGTTGTTGTTTCCATAGATGCCACGTGATTAAGAAAAAAAATATTTTCCGAAATGTCACCTCATTTTTTTTCTTAAACATCTAGTAAATGTCAATAAAATAAATCAACAACAAAATTTGGTGTTTTTTTCTGGACTTCAATGCTCATCTAAATTTTGTACTTTTATTTAATTATTTTTGTATTCGGAAAGGTACCTCTACCATCCCAGGTACATGCTGGCAACGTTGCCTGAAAAAATGGGAGTTCCCAAGCAGTATTGACACATTTTCCCATAGTGATTTACTTTACGTGCATTTCACTAGTGACATCAATTAATTTTACATATTTTTTAGTTTCCCTAATTATTGTGCGATCAGGTTTTCCATATGCACAATAAAATTATTGTGTATTAGGTTATAAATTCTGAAGATTATTACTTATGGACGATTTAAATAAAATTGTATTGTTCAACGAATTTGTCAATCTTAGAGGTGTCATCTCCTGAATAAAGTCTCATAAAAAATGAAATATGTTTCTGTGGGAATTCACCTTCCCTCTAGTAAGTTTATCTGGCTTAAGCAAGGAGATTTCATTGCAGATAGGAAGATAATCCCTACAAGAAACCATTACAAGGTCATTAGCACAACCCAAAGTTTTATACCTACATCCTTTCTCCTGTCTAGACTCATCCGATAAATTTTGGATGTATTTTTTGATCTCCTCTGATGAATTTAAATATATTTAAATAAGCCTGAATTTCAGAATTATAAGATATTTTGGATTTCTTCAATTAATACCTCATTTTTAATTATCATATTTCGTAATTATTTTTTATAGAGAAGAATAATTTGCGTAAAACCAGATAAATAAAAGATATTAGTGTTACTTTAACTTAAATTTTATTTCAAAAATAATCAACATATTACAAACAACTTTTTCTGTTATAAAAGTGTAACATACGTATTTATATATACAAATTTTACATTTACACTGATAGGAATCTAACCTTATCAGTCTGCAAAAATAAAAAACTCCTTTTGATTGGCGATGAATTGAAAACTTAATCAAACTTTCTCGTAAACTTTTACTTTACAAAAAAAAAACAGTATTTTTCACTAAAAATAAAAAAGCGATGGTTTTATTGATACCACAGCCTCGGTTGAAACATTTGTTCACAAGACATATGGTGCATATATAGAGGGTACATTTTCTCGACTTTGTCAAAAGCCTCTCCAATAGTAGGCTTTTGACAGAGGCAAGAATAATTAATTCCTATATTAAAAAGATTGCAAAGTTTGATAATTACATTTTCACATTTTTTATTTTAGTCTAATGTTTTTCATCCTTCTATTATTGCATTTACGATCGACATCCTATTTAGCTATTCTAAGCCTCTCTGATCTCACTGATCCAACAATCGGTTGGTAAGCCTTTGAGATGATGCCCAAAATTTGAAAGCGATAAAAGCTCTCCAGCAGAGTTTCACTGATCAAGAACAAGTCATTAAATTAAATGAATATGGTATTGGTACGGCTTCTTTGAATTCACATTGCGCAACGTAAAAAAACACGTAACAAATCCGCATCTGAGCTGTTGAAAAAGGTAGTACGAGACAGTTTAGGCTTTTAAAATTTATTAGAAACTAAAGTAAATGATATGAACAGTACATTCAAATTGATATTACCATCGATAAATGTTGTAAAATGTGACATGGAAGGAATAAAAACCAAGATATTAGTAATTAAAAAGTGCTGCTTTTTTTTGTCACGGCTTTGCAAAAACAGATAAACCTCATGTTGCATTTCTACTATTTATATAGCAATGAAAACTTGAACAAAACTGTAAGTTATCAAACAGCTATTTGTGAAAAATCTGATTTTGGAGGCAAGGAAATCCTGCTAGTAAAACTCCTCATTTTTTAATTGTAAATCAGATATATAGGAATATGTAATCCTCAGACAAGATTGTATTAATTTTTTTGTTGCCTGGGGTCTGGAAATCGGATAAAGAGGAACGTTGATAGTGGTAACTACTAGCAACGCCGTAAAACACTTCATAGGTCACCAGTCATTCTTTAACACTAAACATAAGATTCACTGATCAAAAGACCGCTTCTACACTTTTGTACTGAAAATGAGCATAGTATTGCACATTTGACTCCATGATTTGTTTTTATTATGTGGAGTTTATATCCTATTTGTACTTGATCAACAAGTGTACATATTGTTGCCGACTATAACCGGTCATTTGACCAGCTATGGTATAAATAGGTATGAATCAAGTGTTGGTATATTTAGTGCTACAAACAACCTACAGATTGCAATATCAATTTAATAAAAATTAACGTAGATGCCTCTGAAAAACATCAATGCAATTAAATGCAATTTTTCGTTTTATTCACCATTTTTTTTACACTTAAAAATAGCATCACAAAAATAAAAATCGTTAGCAGAATACGTATGAGTACGGCGATCGCGGAGGAAAAAACACTTGACTTAGAGTTACAAAAAAGTGGGATTGGATCAACTATAAACCGAAGATTGTAGCGAGGTATGAATGTTATATAATTTACGATACAACTGTGATGTTATTAGCCGATTAGCCAATATGCAAAATATCATCACGATTCTGCAATGGAACTGCATCCTTTATAAGGTTGTCTTGTACAAAACAAGCAGTGTATTTTGAGATATAATAAATTTCAAGTATTTTGACTCTATTATTTAGAACAGACCAAACAGAAAATGAAATCTTTTCACATAAAAGCTTCAAACTCCCATGCGAAAGATATGAGGTTTCCGGCGTGATCATTCTTACCTGTGCCCCTTAAGGTGGCCATACACGCTAAAATGTCCAATTTGTAAACTTCAAACAAACAGCGTGTATGGCCAACTTAAGCTCGAGTAAGAGTGACAACAGATACGCTATTTCCTAGCGAAAAAACCTCTATCGGTTATGTCAGCATTCCCACTTCCGTCTACTCGCTATTATGACTTTTTCCAAGCACCGTTACTACCCTGTGGTTTGCCGACATCGAGACTAGGAAACTGACTATCAAGTGTATGATAACTGTAGTGTTCTGTCAGCTCCTTGCGGTAGATCACCTGTTTGCAATTTTCACAGATAACTAGAAGTTTTTTCCCCTTGCCGTCATACACTCTGAACAACTCCTGTTGCTTGTCTATGTCTGGAAGGAGAACTAACAGCTCTGGAAAGATTTCTTCAAAATTGCTGCCCAACACTTGCTTGCAATGCGCGTAGTAATTGTCTGTGGGGAAGCCCCCGTTGCGGAACAGGTCCGAATACGTTTTGAATTCCTGTGGAAACAATGTTGTCAAGTAAGCTAAGATGACGCTAGAGTTCAAGATCCCAGGGTTGGCAGACATTACTTATTTTCTGAAAGAGGTGTTTATACGTACTTTCAACGACTAGTGATAGAGTCTGAGTAACAATGAGACTAACTATTCTGATATAGTTGTCGCCACCGTTCTTGTCGGGTCAAAGTAAGGTTGGCAGAATTCCTTTATGTATCTCCATCTCCCTCATACATAGAGATGCAACCTGCCCAAAATCAACTTTATTTGATATAAGTTTTCCGAGACATACTGTTTATAAATAAAACGCAGCACGACAAAATTTAAATTAGATCCACAAAGACCAAACATAGGAGGTTAAACTCATAGATGAGGGGTGAAGCCAAAAGTGTCGACAATGAAGTCGGGGCTCTCTCGTAGGTACACTGCGCAGGAAAAGAATATAAGGTACTGCGCATGTGACATCTCTCTCATATCTAAATATATCTATACCTGTCATCTTGAACATAAACAAACCCCACTTTTGACAATTCAGACAAGTTAATATTAATAAACCAACAAAGCGTGTCAAAACGCGAGTAAAATGAGAAACCTTGGAAATCAGGATATTGCCATGTACGTGATAATTTTTCCCATCATTTCTGAACGGCACTCTTGGCAACTGAAGTTACTCTTCATCATTTTCAATGACAAGAACTTGTAGAGGATCAACAACTGAGCACCAGTACGTGGTTATGGAAACTGAATTAATAGGTCAGATAATAGGATTAACTGTTTTTCCTCCATATGTACTAGATATACATAATACCAACCTTTTCACAAGAGTGGCAAATATAACTAAGAATTTGGAAATAGAAAATTTTATTGTAATATCGTCACAAAACAAACCGATCCAAACCAGTCTATGTCTCTGTCCTCATAGCAATACATGTGTTCTCTTAGGCAGTTTAACCTCCAATATTTAGTCTTCGTGATTAGAGGCTGTCAGAAACTTTTTTCTAAGCCGCCACACCATCAAGTTAGAGAGAGGTCTCTTTTAAAACATCTGGCAGAGATTATGTCAGGCCCCAAGTGTCTGGCAGTGTTAAATATTAGGTTTATATTATAATAATGTTTCACAATCCCTCTTACCTGTCGCCTGTAAATAGGCCCTCTACCCAACTTAGCAGGTAGGGACGCCAGGAAAATACATATAAACGCCATTCAATGCCCCAAGGTTTGCCTTTCAGGAAATAATAATGTCTGACCCCTCTGGGATCTTTATATCAATTTGAAATGAACATGTTGTGGCAAATAACCTGAAAATAAGCCTTGTTTTTTTTTTCATTTCGACGCAATATGCACGTAAATAAACTGTTTCTCTCTAAAAAATATATTTTCAGAGTTTTCATTTTTTTTCTATGAACCAGAATTTCAAACGTAACATTTTGCGCCAAAGCTGTAACTTAAGAGCTTTGTCCATCAAGAATACCGCACACGTAAAAGTCAACGATAACCTATAATCCTTTGACTTCTTATGACATAAATAGTAATGTTTTCATATGCATTATTTGTGACTGCCAAAGCTTTCTGCTAGAGTACGACGAAATAAGTCTTTTCACGTCATGCCCTCAGAATGAGACCCTAACTCTTCTACGCAGGTTAGGCTTCTGTCAAATGTTAGGAAAATAACATTTATTCTCTGACATAAAATATAATTGCCACGCCCTCGAAATCTGTAGGAGATTTAAAAGTACGAATTAATAAATACCGTTTTCAAACACAAGAGCACAAAAACAAGAATAAGCTGCATAATCCTGGAAAAAATGGATATAAACAAGCAATTCCGACTGAAAAGGGTGCTAAAACCTCATGTTTATTCGGCCAATGAAACCACATATACCTGAAAGTTTTCTTTAATGTACTATTGACCTTCTTCAGTACATGACACTTTTGACAATATTTTATTTATCTGGAAAACAGATACAAATAATATATTGTCAAAAGTGTCATGTACTCGTACTAAAGATCAGAGATCACCATTGTGACCGAAACTAAAGATTGAATACATTAAAGAAGAATTTCAAATATATCTGGTTCCAATGGTCAGACAAACATGGTGGACTACTGACATGAAAACTACAGGATAAGTTTCAGATGTTACAGCGCAATTCCCTTACCTTGATTGTATCACTATTCAAAATACTCATAACTTTCTTGATCAAATTCTGGTTGCGAGCATGAAAGTTAACTGGTGGATGATATTTTATGCTGGGCGTTATGGAGTAACTTTGGCCGCTACTTGACGTGAATGTCAAATCATTGGCCACTCCTCCTAAGCTGGGAAAAGAGGCGGGACTTAAACCTGGAGGGGGTTTGATGGTAAAGCCAGGAGGAGGCTTTGTTGACTCCTGAAAGGAAATTGTATATGAACATGCTTTATTGTCTAAAGAACACATTCTTAATGACAAAGCTAACTTTAAACTATATCAAAATTACATGAGTAAATTAATTGTATAACTCACGCAATGTACAATATGGTTTACATATTGGACAGCTTATAAGTTCACGACACACTATCTTCAAATTTTTTACTGTTCTGATAGTATCATGGAAGCGCATGTACATTTTCAGAACATTATAAATTATCTATCTTTTACTTAGGTACTACTAATTTAAAAATTTCTTTGCGTCCAATACGGTAACTTATAATGAATAATTCAAATTTAGATTAAGAGTTGCTGTTTCTAAAATGAACAATAATACGACAAACTTTATTTTAACTTTAAAGGCGTGCGTATAGCTGTAGGATTAGTCTTAGCTATATGTCTAATAGTTCGTTTGTGCATAACAAGCACTTTTACAAACAATTTTGAAACAGACACAAAAAAGGGAATCTCAATATACTTACAAATAAGGCAAAGCAAAATCTTAAGGCTGTGCTTTTCCCTACGTTGTAACTACATGTTCTTATGATAAGGGAAATATTTGCTAGTTGAATGAAACTTGCCCATTCTTGGTTATGGAAGACACCCAATTGATTACTATGTAAAAAATTACAATCTAGCAGTTGCGACTGCAACATTCGTCCTACTCGGCTCAAATAGGCCACTCGACGTGCACCAGCTACAAGAGAATGGCGCAATGGTCGTTTAGCAGTTATTTGCCTAAATTGCTGCACCCCTCGTTTCGCTAGCATGTTTTGTGAGTTGCAGGCTCGTAGGATAGTATATGGCGTATACTTTTGGAACAGGAAATGGCGTAGGAAATTGACAGAGTATAAAAATCGCATTTTACTGCTTGCATGTGCAACGACAGGCATGTGTACAGATTCAGTGCTAGTTGGTTATTGATGCTGAGGAGCGAGAAGGATGTGCTGGCCATGAGCCGGAAGGGGTTCATAGTCTTCAAATTGGATTGGATGCCAATTTAAAAGTAGGCAACGCATACAGCCAGTTCAAGCTTCTGATAGCTATACTACAACTATTTAAAACTGTAATGACTCATACGCGTGATCAACACGTGATCGGAGCTCTATCCCGGCTTCCTTCCGGTACAGCCGTATAGCGTACGACATATGTCGTTTCTGTGGCTTTGCGGTGGTCAACAGCATAGACAGAGATGGAAATAATGGCTGATTGTTCTCCGCCGGTAGAACCAATGAAATCAAAGACGCGCCTCGACCGGCAGACTCATAGGCGTCGGCAACACATTGGAACGTGTTTCGTTGAGCGATCGCATATTGTGTGTTTTTATAAGAATTGTTGTGTGATTGTTATTGTTGTGGTTTCTGTGGTTACTGTTTTGGTTATACTTAACCATGGAGAGTACAAATGGCACGAGTGGAAGTACTGAAAGCCAGGGAACAAGTAGACGGCTTCGTAAAGCACTGAAGAGGGACGCGAAAGAAATCGTGCTCAACGTGTTCAATTATCTGAACAGAACTATGTCGCAGGGAGATGCACTCGCGCGTTGTGAAAGTATGACAGGCGTTCCAGAGTGGACCATTCGCAGGGTGGTGCATGAAAAGAAGAAAACTGGAGCTACTACTGATCCAAAGTTTAATTTGAAGGGACGAAAGGCCGTTAAATTGGACGACGATAGCAAAATGGCGTTAAGGCGAACCGTACATTCATTCTTCTTTAGGAATGAGATACCAACCCTCAAGGCTGTACATGCAGCGATCAAGGAAAATGAAATTATACCCCAAATGAGCGTCGAGGTAATGAGGAAATCCCTGCACGAAATTAATTTTCATTACGAAACGCGTAATCGGAAGTCAGTATTGATAGAGAGACCTGAAATAGTCGCCTGGCGTCGAAAATACCTACGCGAAATGATTGAATATAGGCGACAAAGCAGAAAAATCTATTATTTGGACGAGACATGGGTAAATGCAGGTCACACAGTTAAAAAAACCTGGATAGACAAAAACGTAGTGAGTAACCGACAAGCAAGCATTGAAGGTTTGTCATTCATTCATTCAACACAACCCTCAAATTACCAGACGTTAAGGTTTTACTTGAGACTTCCATACAGCTAGTAACGCCCGAAGCTTGGCAGAATGCTATCCGTCATGTTGTGAAGGAAGAAACAAAAATGTGGCAGCTTGACCACCACATCGACACCATCATAGAGCCAGTTATAGTCAATTTCAACGAGGAAAGCGATAGCGACAGTTTATTACTGTCAGATGTAAGTGGAAGCGACGATGAATAAAGGTAATTCCCAAATTTTTGACTTACAATATGTTTCAAACCACTCTTTATTAAGCATGTGACAAATCTAGTTCACCCATGTTAAACATTCATACCCCGCCTATGAACAGCCGACTACTGGAAGTTAAGTGATGTTCACGTGAACATCGATGAGTCATTACAGTTTTAGATAGTTATAGTATAGAACGTAGCACGGTTATGAAAAAGTCGTAATCCGACATCAAACATCCCGAATAAGGAATCACAATCTGTTAGTAAGAATCCCAGTTACAAAATGAGGGCACCGACCAACAAAATAGTTGCTTTGGAAGTGCACATTTTCATACAAACATGTATATTTACCTCTGACCTATTAGAAACAACGGACGATTCACCAGTATTACGCAGGTTCCCGATTTTGATTTCAGAACGCTTTTTTATCATTCCATTCTTGATGATATCTTCATTGTTGTTCGACTCATTTGCAGAATTTTGTTCCCCTTTCTTTTTCTCAGTGTCCAAAGGTTTATCTTTGCTTTTTTTCTTCTTCTTGCCTAAACACGGGAGAAACGTAAAAAATTACATAAAAAGGTTCTTAGAGCCGATATATTCGGATAATGGAGTCTGATAGATTCGATTTTTCAGCAAAATGTTCGGGTATGGATACCTTTACTAAAAGGTATGTGAAGATTGACAATAATCTGTTTTGAGGCTAGACATGAGTCGTATTAGTATCCGGGGCCGGCTAAAAAAAGGCAGATTCTAGGAATGTGATAACAAAACACGTGTCGTTTTCTATATTCTAACCTTTATTTTCGGTGTTATCCTGCTTATTTTCAACTGGCGGTTTGGGCTTCAAACTAGCGGCCCTAGCCTCAGCCTCTCTGTTTCTTGCCATTGCACTGTTCATACTGTTCAAATTCACCCAATTATTCCCTGAAGATGTGTTGGTGTTGCCCTTTTTCGTTTTTTGTAAGCTAGGGAATTGTTGGAGGTCACCGGGTGGTAGCGTAGGCGTAGGAGTCACCTGAAAAAAAAGAGAAATATACAGGGTGCTTCATAATTTAAGACCAGATTCAGCGCGTAAAAAGTTTTGAAGGAATCCAGGTAAGACATGATTTGAATACGGAGAATTTAGATTTTTTACCTATTAATGTGACCTTTGATAATATATTTGAGTGTACTTAAACTCATTACAATCTGTTTTTGAGAAATGCTAGATGACGTTCTAAAAACGTTTACTACTTTAACGTTCTGAATCTGTCTTCACTTTTCCTGACAACATTCTGTGTCGGCTGTGTTAGAAGTTAAACATATAAAACGAATGAGTTTATTACCTTAGGCGCTTTCGATTCCTGCTTTTTGTGCTTGACCTGAACCCACTGCGGCTGTTCGGCACCGCCTTGTTGGGCTGACCCTAAAGCAGGAAACGCCTCTGTGGGGCGGGACGCGCTGCTATTGGACGAGGCACTTGTGGTGATGTGAGTAGTGATGCCACCATTAGGACGATGGTTAACGTGAATAGAAACCTTCGGGCTGGTATGCGAGTCTTGAGAACTATAAGAAAAATTAATTTATCGTTTAGATAATCGGAATGATGGAAAAATAGTCACGGAAAATGTGCCAATAAAACGCCACAAAGTCATAAAGTACAGAAACATAGTTTAATTATTCAAAAATCAGCATCATAATTAATGCTTTTAGACACTCTATCACAGGTGATCCATAACAGCTGTGTAGGTCCATTCATGCGGGATTTTTTTCATATTATCATATTTTCAGAGTTATGCATACAAATCGTGCAAAATTCAATCAAATAATTTCCAAGTTAAAACTTACTTAACACTTAACCTAACAGTGCTACTGCCAGTATTGTTTGAGCTGGTTCCGCTCAAAACGGGAAAGTCATTATTTCGCCTAGGTTGGCCTTGTTGTTGACCCCTTACAGTTCTAGTTATGGTAACTTCGGGTGCTCTATTAGACCTTGTACTCGCAGAGTTGGTCGTTATAGTAAGGGCTGATGGTCCTCTTGAACCACCTGAACAAAAATATATTCAATATTTTTCCGTCGAGACTAGCATAAATCCGTTAAAATGGCAACACTGGGTAGGTACTGCCTGTTCTGGTGTGTGTTTTGGTGAAAGAACATATGATTAAGTACACTAGGTAAAACGGAGGTCGGCTCCCTTATTACATAACTGAATTGTACGTCGCAACTCATGTCAAAATCATATTAGCTATCTGTGAGTTGCACTAGTTCTGTGTTGTTTATTTTGAGATTGCGACACCGGTCTAGACCCTTTGCTAACTATATTGTACTTTATACGACTCATATGCATACACCTCTCGCACATTGGAATCAATGATCAATAGCACTGAACATGTCCGTTCTTGTGCAGAAAAGCAGCTAAATACGATGTCCATACTCGGTCCTCCATCACATCTTGTCCAAAAAGTATACTCCATGTGGAATAACTCACAAAAGATGATACTGGAATGCGGGTTACAGCAGGTAAGGCACATAACAACAGAACGGCCATTGCTTTATTTCCTCATAGCTGGGCCAATTCGTTGATATAAAAAGCATAGTACCTAGTGCAAATTTAACATTGAAACCGTCAAATGTCGATTTTTGACGTAATAAGAATACAACTATCGACAGTAGGTGGGTAGTAAAGTTTCAGACAGTGTTGTCGCTTGCTGATACGACGTGGATAGTACCTAACCAGAGTTGCCATTTATGACCTTTGTAATGTTTGAGCTCTGTGATAGCATAAATACATACCTAAAGAGGGGAAATCCTCTTGCCTCAAATTGGAGTTGTTCCTGGATGCAAAATTGACGGAAGCGGGTCGAAAAGTGACACTTCCTGACGCCGATCCTAACGCCGGGAAGTCCTGGGGGGTGAGGGGGTTCACGAAGAACCTGCCGGAACCAACCTCCCCCCCGCCACCTGGGCCACCGCCCGGCTCATCATAAGGATCATTGTCAATGCTGAAAACATAGAGTCTAGTAGATTGACTCAGTTCGTCCGACGCATTCAACTAAATGCAACAGTTATAAATGACATATCGTCGGTGATGCTGCAATACCGCGTAACAGACAGTAATTTATGAATATTTTATATATAATTGCATATTTGAACGACTGAATTGCCGTTTTACCGTGTGTCGATTAGCGTTTTGATCGACGCGCCACCTGACCTCATGGGATAAAGCTTTTGTAACTGGGACCTTGAATAGTGAACAGATACTTTCGCAAAATTAGGCAACCAGAGTTGCACCATCATATATTGCAGCTTGCGAAGCTTCCAGCGATCCAGAAGCGTTGGTTGCCAGAGCGCGAATGTTCTGGATTACGACTACATGATTATAAACTGTCTTAAATTAGTACAGTCTGCGAAAACTAAAAGTTCGGCAACTTCAAAATAAAGGAATATCAGAATACATTTCGGGGTTTCAACTTTAATTTAAAAAAATTACAATTTACAACCCAGCTTTTAAGCTTTGAATATACCCATTTTTAGCGCTTTTCAGACATTAAATCGCTTATGACTCAAAAATGTTCAGCTTCGAAGTAAAGTTAATGGAAGCCTTTTTTGTTCACAATGATCCAAAAACATCGGATAAAAATTGTCCCGACAAAAACTTGTAATTTATTTAAAAAAGGTGTTTAAACAAATTTGATCTGGGTTACCGTGCGCGTATATTTAATGCCGGAAAATTGGGTTAAAAATTATAATCTTTGAGATCGCCAAGTATATAAATTAACGATAAAATCTTGCTCTACAAGATCTTGAGGAGTATTTTGAAAATAGTTTTTTTAGCACTTTCAAACTTGTGTTTTCAGGCCAAAATTGGCGGGCTTATCGTTTTCGCAGACTGTACAAGTGTAGAAGTAATAAATTAGACACTGATGTTATCATTACATACTTTGTTCGTACAGTGGTCGGTGATCTGTTGACAAATGTGTCTGGGATCCGGCCGTGTGAATTCCGTCTAAACAACATAGCAGAATGAACGGAATTTGTGTGGCAGGATCTTGGACACGATCACTGACAGGTTGGCGACAGCTGTACGAACAGGGCTACAGTATCGTTGTCAAGAGCCTATGCGCATGAAATTATAATTTTGATTTTTTTTGTAGTTACGTGATTTGAGCTACTGTTGGTTACTCGGAAATGCAGTATCACCAACGATAAGAATCATAGTAGTTTCGCATACTTTAAAAAGTCTGACTCTTACAAATTCTTCTTGACCACGCTCAGAAATCATCAGAAACTCGAATAATGAACTTTGGGAAGGTTCTGGAAATCTCTCCCATGACTCGGCCTCATGTTTTAAAATGAGATTAAAAACTTGTTTCGTCATTGGCATGGTAGTTACGTTATTTCAAAATTACATCAATTTCCGAGCAGCGCTTTCCGTGTTTACTCCGACAACGTAGCATTTCCTCGTGAAAGAGGATCGATACAAATTGTTGGTCGAGTCAGACGATCGGAAGTGGCAGCAAAGTAAAGTTTTATCAATGATTAATCGTTTATTAGATACATAAATCAGAAAAAGTGTACCTATTTTACTTTTCATTGAAAACGTTGCAAATCAGTTCATACCATGATCATCATTTCTTTAGATCATAACGAATAATATAATTAAAATAACAAATGCTGAAAAAATGGGATTCACAGATAATCAAAGTAATGGCTTCAAGGATATTGATGAGACAACAACTGTGCCCCCCTGTAAAAGCTGAAATCATACTTCAACCAACTGTACAAGAAGAGAGATTCTCTTTCTCAAAAGGTAAAGCTGAGATTTGGATAATTGTAAAAACACGTAAACTTTTATACAAAACTATCACACTTACCGCCTATTATCATATCTTCTATTCCTATTATTGTCAGTTCTTGGTCTAGGGGCTAAAGTAAATTCTAATTCTAAGGTCCTTGCTTGCTTTGTAGCAGACTTACTCATATGTCTACTGTGTTCTGTAGCAACGTGAGCTATGAAATTAGTAACATTAAACATTATCGTCCGTATATTTAAGAGAAAATTAAACTAAACATGTTTACACCGTGATGCGCTAGCCACACCAGGTGAAGTAAACTAGTGCTTAGCATAGTAACCACACTTAAGCTAGGTTTACACGGGGCAAAAGTAGAGAACATTGCACGCCTTCGGTTTCTCTGTCGTGACTCTTGCTTTAGTGGAGGATATAAACCAGGCCGGGGTCGTGGTCGCTTCGCACGATCAAGATTTAGTTTATTCCTCGAAGTCAACCATAGATTAGCTTCTGGTGAGAGTCACGCACTTGAGTTCAGATTTTAGTGGTATGTTGGCGAAAAGGTTGACAGTCACGTGGACAGATAAAAAAATAGAAAAAGGCTTGTTGGGTCAGGATACTCGCACAATGAATTTTAGAGGTACATATATGATGTAGAGAAGCCATCTCTTGACAAAGAGCAGTGTAAACACAGAAAATCACGGATGTAGCTAGCTCAGCCTGATGTAAACATGCCCCTTGATTGTAGTTAATAATACCTGCAGGCAGTGTTGCCGAACTGAAAAAGACAAAATCGGCAGACAATGTCGTTGAAATTCGGTAGATTCAGAGACAAAATCGGGAGGATGAAAAACAGGACCATCACAAGATCAGTGATGGATCAAAGGACGCAGCGCTCCCTGTGAAGAAACGTATATTTTTATATTGCGCGAACATACACAACACAGGTTTTTCTGAGCTCATCTGTTCCTGAAAAAATCTCAAGTTCTCTATTACAACTTGTACAATGATCATACTGGTCGCTCTATGAACTCGTCTGCAACCATCAATGAAACTCCCTTTGACATTCTTGTTTATAAGATTCAGAATATGTTTTGTTTTAATTTAACATCCAGTTAAATACAGATGAGCTTTGGTTTCCTTGTTACTGGCTGTAAATGTTGTACACAAAAACCAATATACGATAAGCGGAATAAGGGATGTGCGTACGTAATTGTAGGTAACCCAAATCTATGTCCCTCGTGTGCACGACTGCCCAAGCGTACGCTTATGTATGACTCGCATGGGGCATAAAACTGCATAAACTACAATAGAATTCATTTTTTGGCTTTAATTTTTCTATCAGCTGTTTCTCGGTATTTGGAAATACCTGAATTTGTTTAAAAAATCGTGGAAAATGAGGACGTGTTCGGTATATCGGTAATTTAGGTCTCATTTCGGTAGAAACACCGAAAAATCGGTAGGTTCGGCAACACTGCTTGAAGGACCTATTGCACCTCAAATATTACCTTTTAAATCTATATCCGACCTAAAAACAGCAGTCAAAGGCATATTCCTGCAATCCCCCTCCTCACATAGAAAATGCTCCTCTTTGAAATGCTTCAAAAGATCGTCCATGCAGACGTAGTACTGATGTTTGCCGTCCGCATCGCACAAATGGCAAAACAAATGAGTGCGCCGAAGATGGCGAAACAGCTCGTCGTTGTCCATATAGCGGGTGTCGCAAAACTCGCACAGAGGGTGCCCTCTATTAAAAAGAATATATCAAAACTAATGGTAGATTAATATATCTTTGAGAGAGCAATCGACTTTTCTTATCGGGCTGCAAACTCACCTCGATTTCAAGTCAACGGTCCGCGTCAGCATCTATTAACAGTGCTGTTGATCTAAGTCACAGGACATGATCTAAAAGTCGTGCTATAAGAAAAGTTGCAAGTTTGCTTTTTCATGATGAGCGATACAAATTGCGTGCATAAAATGGGCACTTAAAAGTAACGTACATCGCACATACACATATTTATTATGTGTTGCAAACCCATGAATTAACGCATTCCTACGTCCTAAAGGGGATCTGGAAGATACTAGTGCTATCTATGCTATTGTTTCATAGATCGCGCTAAAATCTTTAATCCTTTTTTGCCTCTCTAATGTCTATTTTAATTGGTCATCTTCAGATGGAATACGTTAATCAATGCCTGAGGATATTCAATTAGAATAGGCATTAGACAGGCCCAAAGGAACCGCATATCCTAGCGCCATCTATGACACAGTAGCAGAACCAAATACTGTAATTCCTTCCAAAGATTTGTAAATTATTATTTCTGATCTTCTAATGTCTCATAGCTGACACTATAATGTTTCACTTTAAATTCGACCCCATGATGATGCAGAATTTTTTGAAAGCAACATTCTGATTCAAAATTCTAAAAAGTACCAAATGTTCCTCAATATTAGTCATACATGACGAAAACGGAAATTTTGGACTACAATGTTGTATAAATAGTTATCCATATTAAGAGAAGGATTTCAAACATCTTTGGATATGTGTGAGCTGAACAACAAAGATTCATCCCCTGGGTAACTTGAAACCATGAATTCAGAATCCAATACAGATTTATAACTGGGAGCAACATTGGTCCTATGATACTACAGAAGATTATGATCAAGTATTAATAGCCAGCATCCCATATTACCCAGACATACCCAGAAAAAGAAAATTTTGCCCGACAAAGCCATATACTTTTCAATCAATCTTATTTGTATGAGTTTTGTAGAACATTGTGTTCGCTGGATAAATTGTGTGCATACGTTCCAAATATGACATCAATTTGTAGTTTTGTTCAGCTAAAACACCCGGACTTGAGAGACAATGTTTTTCTGACATTTCTATTTCTCACCTGTGTGATGTGTTGTCAGGATCACCCTTTCTCCTATGATGTCCAAGCTCCTGACGAGTATAGCAACGCCTTTCAAAAGTGAAAATCTTCAGGTTTTCCACACATATGTCACAATAGAACAGTTCATGCTCCCTAAGATTAAAATTGTTACAATATCCAACTAAAAAATGATAATTATATTTTATCTACCTCCTCATGTGATCTTTGAGTTGTTGATAAGTCTTAAATGGCCATTTTCGGTCATCATACTTGTCACAGATGTGACAACGATGCTCCAACAGTTTATAGTATGCCCGTTGGGCCTCAGAAGTGCGAAAATACAGGCCAAACTTGCGATCTTGTAAGCTGGACTTCTCCAAGCGTGGAAATAGAGAAGCAAACTGCTCCACTTTCTTAGTGAAGATCACCTATTTAGTACAGTGAAAAATGTTTTATCAATTTGTTCCTATAAGGTGACAAAATTGTTAAAAGGTTAGTGTGTGTAAGAATATATTTTATTTATAATTAAAGCAGTTATTTCAAAAACCTCATAAGTCACACAATGTGAATTTTTCAGGAATTGATGAATGTGTCACTCACAAATAATGTAGCTCAGGGAGTGGTGGAGATATGATGCTTTTCAAATCCTAAATAGTCAACATAGTGTGACAAAAATTATGCTTTCAATTGGATGGATGAACATAACATTTTTTTTTTATTTTTATGATATTTTCACAATTTCCGAGTAGCAGACCCCAAAGAATAAATATATTGAAGGCATTGCCATGTTACCACCAAAAGACTGAAAACTAACAGTAATAGTTTTGTGCATTTTTCAGTCTTTTTGATAACATGAAGAAAAACATTTGGTAAATAAACATGGTTCTCATTAGGAAAAGCCAAAGACTTATTTTCTGGTTTTTACCAGGGAAATAAACATATATTTCCTTGTATTATGACACATTGCAAAATGAACATTTATGTGCATGTAAAAATAAGCTTAAATGATGGAGGCTACCATCTATCAGCTTGAAGAAGTCATGTACACAGTTTGTAACACCATACTGATATATCTAATGGCAAAGCATGAAACAAAGATATAGTGGCAGGTCTGCCCCTTAAATATGCCACCAATGGAGTTTCAAAGGTCTTTTTTGGGCTTAATATGGTAGTGTCCAAAAGGAATGAATGTATATTATAACCAGAATACACATCTATGTTTAAGAAAGCACCTTCAGCAATTAAATTAAATTCAGAAAAAGTATAACTTAAATGGTTTTTCAAATGACCAGTTTGGTTGTCAATTACAAGAAGCAATTAGCAGTCAGCCAGAAGTGCTGTTTGCTAACCTAAACAAAAAAACAAGATTCCTTTATGCGATACTTTATGATAGATGTAAAAAATGGTGCTACTTCGAATTTCAGTGCTACTGAAGGTTATGAAATTTGATGACCACTACTGTTCTGAAAAAAATTGAATCAGCAGTTTTGATAAAGGATGAATTTCTCAAGTAATTCTTATCTTTCATCAGTTTCAAGGTCTTTGATTGTAGATGGATTGACAGACCTACCATAAGGTATAGCAAATCTGTGCAATAGCAAAAAAATTGCAAGTAAGCAAAAACACAATTTGAGCAGGTGTTTTCTATGATTCTATAAATATTATATAAGGAATCTTTCTAAAAATAGCCTCACTATCCTGATAAGGCACCATATTTTTCATGGGAGTCCAGAAACTGTAACAGCCTTCTGTATGGGGACTGCACATTACCTTGGGCATATCCGACCTGCAAATGGGGCACTCATTCTGGCGGCAGAGCACCCTCATTCTCGTGGAGCACTCAAAACACACAGGGTGATCACAAGGCCCGATCGAGTAGATGTCCACATTTTTGAAGCAGACTACGCACAAGTTCTCGTTGTCACTGGAATTTGCTTCCTCTCGGCTTGCCATACTCGTTGATAGAGTTGCTTCGATAGTTTGATTTAGAAAAGTTCGGGAAACACAACCTATATTATTGGAAAATATGAACAAAAGTGACAGATGGACAATTTTCCAACAGTCCTCAAAAGATAGTTCAATTTGAGGTGGGTAGATGGCGCACTGTAACATTCCACGTGGAGAATAGCTGGAATCATTTTAATTTTGCATAATATATCATTATAAATCAAGCCATTGATCACCCAGTGACACGCAAAAAGCTAATTTAATCTCACTTTGGAGTTGTATTGAAAAATTTATAATAGATTTATATTAATCAAATATATATAAAAGTAGAAGGCAGGCAACCAGTGCGATACTGCCTTAGGACTGGTTGTCTGAATCCTAGAAGTTGACATAAAGTAACATAAAATCCGACGTTGCCAGTAAGTATGATTATGGCGCATAATCAGGTATAAAATTTTTCAATACGCTATTTGCGTCATATAGGGTAGTGCAAACTTTTCTGCGTAATATCTTTGTATATAGAATCTGCATCGGCGCACCAGGAGGGCCGTAGCCGCCCCTAAGAATCTGACTGGACCTTCAAATTTGCATGTCTAGCATGATTTTGTGCACAATTTACTATCATTTCAGGATTTGCGGCTTCTGGGGAAATTTTCTACTCCACGCTCTTTAAAAAGCTTGGGATCAGCTATAAAGTTAATATCGATAGTCGTTCCAATGAGAAAAAACCTGTGGGTGACCAAGAGGCTCTGGCTTTATCGTGGCCGCTCAATACTCCGGTACCGAAAAAGAAAGAGAGTAGCAAAATACATCGCACACTGCTGTCAGCCTGGCATTTCTCTGAATACCTGCAAATACCTCTCAAAAATCAAGTTTAAGTAACAATGCAGTCTATGTTATTGCGACTACATGGCTACCGTCTAAAAACGGCCGATGACGAATCAGAACACTACCTGTGATACTATACTATAGGCTTCTGCTATAAAAGTTTAATTTTGCCAAGGTAGAAAATGGAAGTGCTTCATTCCCATGTTTAGACTACCACTATCACTCTGTATAAAATATCTAGGGAAATACTTAATGACAATTTGGCAGCGTCGCTTTTGGATTGTCATCTGCGACCTGTCTCTCTTTTCCTTATCCAATTTCCAGTTCTTGGGAGGGCCGAGTAGAGAGTGAAGGTGTTTTGCTTTGTGTTCCTAAAATAAACAATTCAAATAGACCAAAAAGTGAACTCGAAACCAAAGACTTCAAAAAAACATTACCAGTGTGATAGACCTTTCGCGTCCGCAGTCCTAATATGTGACCTCCAATGTGCGTTTAACCGTCGTCTGTATTTTGATACCCACTGGAAAGCCAAAACGGTAAGTCGACCTTATTCTACTGCCCACGGCTACAAAACCTAAAAACAACTGTAGTTTCATTCAGGAGAAACCCCCGGGAGAAAGGATTTTGCACCCAATTCTTGAATTGGTGACAAAGAAGTTGCCCAATGATCAGCTTACGGGTCATTTTAATTAAGAATTAATAGATCCTCAAAAGGGTTTTATTGATGAATTGACTTGAGTACCTAATTAGCATTTAAGCTATGTTAGAGCTTTCACGCACTAGGCCAATTAATTGAGTTCGTGGAAATTGGCTGGACGAGAAGGCGTACGTTGATATTGATTTTCTTTGTAATGTAAACAAAAAAATTGCACCTATGTCTATTGTTATTTCAATCTGCAACTATGTTCAATATTCGTTCTGAAGAATATTTCACACAACACAGACTCAACATATTTCATATTTTGACAAAATCCAAAATGTATTTGGGCTTCAAAACCAGTTACCAAATGCTAGACCTAGATGACTGTACTTTCTGAAAACAGGGATAGTATTAAAATGATGGAACTAAGAAACCAAGTCATCTTTCGAGCTGTACTTCTCCATACTATAAAAAATAAATTTAAATTGCTGTTAATATAAAAACAGAACGCCTTTCACTGACACTGAATACGCACCATTCACAACCTCCCAAATCTGAATGTTCATCATCTAAAAATTTTCTGAAAATTAACAGCGATTTTATTTATCATGTTTTTTGCTGTAGAAGGATCACCATTGAACTAATTTTTCAGGCTCATACAGCTTTTTGGTTCTTTGCACAGTAGTAACCTTATGTAAAAATCGTCAACAAATCAGTATTTTCCAAGTTACAGAGAAGACTAGGATTAGAGGACAGGCAGACAAACGACGGAAATGGGTAACATTGTTTTTCTGTACACGTCTATCTGTCCAAAAAAAACGCAATATTTTCGTCTCGAAATTTTTCGCGATTACATTCTCGCTATTTGCCGTTGTAAGTATAAAAGAATTCATTATATTTTTACATGCAAAGCCAAATATTCATTCATTATTTATCTCGTTGCTCGTAATTTTGTAGCTATTATGAAAATTTGTCTTAAACTCGATGTCTCAACACTGTATAATCTATTCTATAAACTTGCTCTGATTTCTTAACTAATACTACACCATATTACTACATGATCTGTGTGTTGCAATACGGTTATTCTATAATATCCATTTATAAACCTGTTTTTATAATTTTTAATCAGTACCTTATTGTTACTTGGATATAATTTGACATGGGTTATTGTATCACTACCGACTTTAACTCAAATATTGTAAAAAAACATTTGAACCATTCATTTAGGTTCTGAGCAGAAGTTGCCTCTTAGTTAATTGTTTGTTGATCCAGAAGGCGAGAGTAGCCCGAAAGGATTCGGGAAGAAGTTGCCAACTAAGATGATTTTCTCCATCAACGCACAATTGTGGCTTCTTTCTGCATAAAATGGGTAATATTGATAACCGTAAAAACGGTGCCATACGCCGTGTACCACTTTTATATCAATTATTTCTTTACGATTTCAAGGTTATCCTGATTACCGTGTTTACATCCATGAACAAATTATTGCTAGAAATATTTTGATTTTTTATAGGTATATTATGGTTTTGATTTTGAGGTGAATCTCGTAAACATATACCATATTGTAGCTTTATCAAAGTTCTATGC